TGGATTTGGTTGATGACCATTTTTATCAATAATTTGACCAATTTTCAGCAAAAACAATTTGCATTTTTCTTTACTGAGCTTGAATCCATACTCTTAGTTTTTCCAAAATTGTTTTCATGTGCCCAACATGTTGTTCTTTAGATACATTATTGATTAAAATGTTGTTCAGATATGCAACTGTGAAGTTGCAATCTGCAAGCTTGTTGAAAAATAGTTGGTGCCACCAAAAGGAAGTCAGTTAAACATATATAATTGTCTGTGCATATTTATGGTCATTAATTCTGAACGTTCATTTTCAATCTGAATTTCTAAATACACTTTAGAGAGATCCAGCTTTGAAAATATTCTTCTGCTGCTTAACTTCGAAAAAATTTCCTCTGGACTTGGTAATAGGTTGTTATATGTTTTCAAACAACTGTTTAATGCTGTTAAGAAATCTGCACAAATGCAAATTTTAATCTTTTTTTTTTTAATATACACCGCTGGTGCAGCCCATTTTGAATGGCTAATTTTTTCTTTTATGCCAATTCTTTTGAGTCTATCCAACTCTTCATTTACTTGTCCCAATGCTGCAAATGGTACACTCTGTGTTGGCTTAAATACTGGTGTCAAAACTTTTTTTTATTTGAACACCAACCCAGTTTCTTTGACAGAACATCTGGAAAACATTTTTGTATTTTTTCTTAAGATTTTTACTCTGATTTTTTAAATTGGTTGCTTGTCAATTTATGTTTTTACAATAAACATTTATTAGCAAATCCTAAAGTTCAAATAGTTCCATCAAGTCAGTACCAAATAATTTTTTTAATACATAAGCTTTAGTTTCTACATGCGACATTACAAGTTATTTCTCAAAAAAAAAAAATTCTCACCAGAAACTAAAATCGCGATTTTGGAAGTCTTTTTTAATAAAGGCTTTCCAATTTCCTTCCATGTGGTCTCACTGATTATTGAAATATCATTACTACAGCAGCATTTTCACACCTACATTCACAAATTTCCTTTTGTTTTCTGTGACCATTTTTTCTGTTTTTCAATGCTGTGTTCAAATTTTTTCTTGGTTTGGTTTTGCAATGTGACTTTATATGTCCTCATTTACCACATTTGTAAGATTCTGCACTTGTAAATGGACTGTCTTTTCCAAGATGTAATTTACTACATCTGAAACAAGGATTTATTCTCCTTTTTGTACATTTGTTCTTTGCTTCTATCAATGCACATTCCTTTTACTGAATTTCTTCAGCATTGTTTCAGACTTAGAATTGTCTGGCAATCATTCAATTTCCTGCAATATAATATTACTGTTTTGCTCAATTTTCATTAAAAATTTTGCTTGTATTTCAGCATTGGTTTTAGCTGTTAAACCTTGAACAAAAATTAACACTTTGAACATATCTGGAGTCATTTCCTTTATTCTAAACTTTTCACATTCTTTGTTGATGATACCAGCATACATGAAAAAATCTTTGTCCTCTTAGATTCATGCACTTCCAACGAGCATTAAACAGAGAGCTGTTGTCACTAAAGATTTCCTCAGAATGTGTACTGTCTTCAGACTCGATTTCACCTGTTTTTTTTTGGTAATATATAATTGTAGTATTTTTCATACTCTATTGGAGCTATTTTCCTTAATAACAATCTCGTTTTTCTCTCATCTTCCCAGCTGCTGCATTACTGACTGAATATTTGTACATATCTACAAAAATATGCAGAAAAAGTCATTCCCGTATCAGGATTGTATACAAATTCTGATATGGTATTTTGGATAGTGCCTGGTATAAGAGATGTTGAAGAATGTTTTGTTTTCTTCAGAATTATAACCAACAACTCCTGTTGCTGTTTTTGTACTTCTAGCAACTGTTGATTTTGTTGTTGTTACTGTTTCTGTTGAATTTCAACTATTGAAGCCAAAATTTGCTCCATATTTGCAAGAATGTTTTTTCCCCTACACCAAAGAGAAAAAAAAATTTATTTTCTCCTACACAACATGAAAAAAAAAAAAAATTTTTAAAACCAATGTGGTTGAAATTCTTGTCACACATATCCTTGTTCCCGAGGCAACAAGTATATTTTTTCCATACTTTTTCACTCAGTATGAGTTTCCAAAATTCTTCTAACTCCAGTTACAACTTGTATGAGTTCCTGAATGCTTGTTACTGTTATGTCATAAGAGTTCTGAATCATTGTCACAATGGTTATAAATCAGCTGGGTTTTGAATACCTTGTTGCCACTGTTATAACGCGCTTCATAGCAGTTATAAGTAATGCCCTGGTTACCTGCCATGATGTCTGTATTAGTATGAAGACTGACTTCAAATGGCTCTTCTTTTACCTAGAGTTTTTTATAGTTATGGATTAGTTCAAATAGTCACTGGGGGTGTACTCCACAAACCATTACCATATAGGAGGTTGAGTATTACATAAAAGTTCAGTACTCGTTTCTAACAGAATTTTCCTGTTTCTTAATACTTTGCTTAGCTTTTGGAAGACATTTTTTTGCTATTCCAGTGTAACTTCAGATTTTGGTGTCACATTTTTTGTCTTCTGTCAAAACACTTCCTAGATATTTAAATTTTTATACTTGCTTGATTTCAACATCTCCAATTCAGTTTGCATCTTGGGCCGTTCCTTTTACTAATAGCCATACATCCTGTCTTCTTACATTGATATTTATTCTTTCTTCTCACTTTACTAACTTCTCTAGGAGTTTCTGCAGTTTCCTTTTTGTGTCTTCTATCAACACTGTGTCATCTGTATAGCTTATGTTGTCAAGATCATAGCTTCTAATAATGAATCCTGGTAAGACTTAATTCTCTCAGGATTACCTCAATCTGCTGAGTAGACATATCCTTGTCTTAAACCCATTTCTATTTTGTGTATTTACTGAAAACATTTTCTCTCTGAACACTACATCTACATTTTTTATTTTTTGTAAAATATGTCAAAAGCACAATAGTAAAAATTACTGTTGAAGAAAGAAAATTCTGGGTGTCATTTTTATAAGTAGATAACTTATTCTATTTTCACCATATTTGCACACAAAGCAAAAGTTGTACTGATTATTCATTGTATCTGAGATGAATGGGAGTAAAGTGAATATTTGAAAAAAAATCTGTAGAAATGTAAACAAAATTTATTCTTGTTAATACTCTGCAGTTATAAAACGTTTCCAAACTCTGCAAAATGAAATTTCATCAATCTAATTTCTATGCAAAGAGGACGCAAAACATTTTTGAGCATCAATTTTTTTTCTTAGTAATCTTTATTTGTTTATAGGCCTATTTTTCATTTTCAGTCACGATTTAAAATTAAAAAAATTCATGCAGCAATAATAAAATAATGAATTGTTTTAAAACAATAGTTTAAAGAACAATTTATAACTCAAATTCATATCTTTTTAAAATAATATATTCATTATTATATTTTGCAGCATTATAGCATTTAGATGAATTTTTATGGTTTCAGATTTTCATATTTTTGCATTATTTTGTAAATAACAAAATTCAGCAAATCTGGAACAACTATTAAACTTTTGAGAGTTTTGATGTATATTAGAATGAGGAATTTTTAGACAGGGTAAGTTTGTTATATAACCTGATCTTATAAAACCTTGTGAAGATGTTTGCTTATATTTCAATAATTTTATATGATTCAAAATATTGAGTGAAGCAAAACATAAGATGCGTGCACATTCTAAATAAGCTAGCTTCCAATAATTATTAAAAATTCCTCACTCACAAAATTACAGAATTCTTTTTTCCAAGATTTTTTCATATATTTTAACACTAATATTAATAAAAACAAATTATGGAATGTAAAGAAATCAATCTAGCAAAAACATTTTTTAAAAATCATACTGAATTTAATACTTTGAGTGAAAACAATATTGCTAGTGATGTGTAATACTGATTAGTTGGAATGTGCACACATTCACTTTGGTGTTTAAATGATTGTAAAAACAAACGTTCTAATGATAAAGACTCTTCCAGAAAGATATTTGTCATAAAAACAATAATATATAAAATTACCATTTTTTTTCTTTATTTCTTATTTTTATAACATTAACCAGAGGAATGTCAATAAACCATAAAAGCTGCCACAGCATCCCGTGCTGAATCACGTACATGCTTGTCTTTTCATAGATTGTGCACTTCACTCATATAATGCAACTTCATAGGATTAAAATCTTAAAAAGTTAGAATTTGTCCTCACATATTTTAAGTATTTTTAAGAAGAAAACTTCTTTTCAATAAAAATAAAGTGCTTAATTAAAAACTTTGTTATTAATAATGTCCATCTTTTTTAAGTGACTGAGGACGGCCAGGATTTGGGCATTACCCACATCTGGGTGCCATATTCAGTTGAAGAAAAAAGACCTTTACTGAGCATAACATTTTGTTGCATATTGTCACAAATTCTTTTTTATTGTAACATATATATTTTTTTTATTTTACTTTAAAAAGAAATAACAAAATTATAAAACAAATGCCCAGTTTGGAAAAAAATTTAAATTTTGTAAATTCTTTCAATTTACCACTTGAATAAATTTAGAGTAATTTGAAATCTAAATTATACTCCAAAATAAACAAAAATCCCACTTTTATAAAATATATGTCAAAATATCCAATTTTTAGGAGAAAAAAAGAAATTTTTTTGAAAAACGAAAAAAAGTTTTACATTGTCGTAATTTTTTTGTTTTTTCTTCACTCCGAAAACTTTACTTATTTTTCCATTTAACTTTTAAACTGAAATAAAAGGTAAAAATAATCTATATATTCCCAATTGTTATGCTCTTCTTTATTATTTTTAATGTAATTTTTTAGTTTTTCTAAGTTTTCTTATAATTGAGAAAGTCATGGCAGAACTCTGCTGAAAAACCTGATACCTAATGAGTGATTGATGCAATGTTCAGTAAAATTTTCTTTATTGAAAAGGTTGATGAAACTAGTGAAAGTCTCAGTAAAAGTGGTATTTTGTGGTTAAACATAACATAACAGTCATCATAACCTGCATAGACAAAAAAGGAGTGGGATGAAGGCGCCAATGGCCACAAACACTGGCAACAACATTGTACTGGTATCATCGGCAGCATAGGGATCTTGAGCTTTTGGCCCTGACGGACGGCGAGATTTTGATGGGGACTTAGTTTCTGGACTTTCTTCTTCCTCTTCTTCCTCATCATCTTCCAATGGGGGAGGTTCAGCACCAGGTAGGGACGGCAACTTGGGTACATCTACAAAACAAAGATGCAGATCATATATTTGATACATTTTCATGTAAAAATAAAAATCTGTTGCAAAACAATTGCACTGACATTGCAGCAACAACAATTGGTACTGCCTGTGACACACATCCTTCTCTACGTTTAATGATAAAGAATTGATTAATAGATGGGCATGGTATTCTAACAATGATGGATTATCTTGGTCTAAGTTTTGAATATAAAATCAAAAAAGCACCAAGTTGGCATAGAGCTGCAGGAATTTTGAAGTACTGATGTGCTTTCCACACTCAGATTCCATAGACAGGATAAGGGTATATATATGTGCTGGAATACTAAACCAATGAGTGGCCATGTGTTTCCTGAAGTATTTTTTCCTACTGCCTCCTAGAATTGATATTACCACATCTGTTCCTCTTGTATAATAAAATGAATAAGAAAAAGAAACTGTCTGTTGATGATACAGTTTATGAAGTGGTGTTGGGGTCCAAGAGACTGAAGACAGTGATGACATGGATCACAACATTTTTCATTTACTGATTGTCAAGTAATTAATTTTGAAAAGCATAAACTTTTAACAAGCAATCTCAAAATACATTTTTGCAAAAAATGATTGGTTCACATAAGAGAACTGAATGTTTTTAATGTGAATAGCCCCAAGTACTTTATGCTTAACTCACAAATCCAAAAAACAGTAATGTTTTTAAGACTTCAAATGAAAGAGAATTTATGTCCAATTCTCAATAAGTTCAAACATTTAGCAGTCACATATTAAATGTGGAAGTAAGATATGCTAGTTTTTTAAAAATTTAATTCATACTTAATTTTAGAGCTAACATTTAAAAACTTGAAACGTAGCATAAAATATACAGAAATGTACATTTTCATTACATGACATTAAAAGCAGATTACCAAAGATTTTTCTAAAATTCATAACATTTAGAATCACTGATTGTAAGCAATTTTTATCTCCATAAATATTTGATGGAAAAATATTTTACTTTATCTACTCATTCAACATCTGAAATCAGATAGCAATATAGTGAATAATATTTTCACTATTTCAAAGTGCCTAAAAGATAACAATTCATATTAATATGCATTATGTGCTTATGGTTTTAAACAAGTTACATGGCCACAGTATGATTCGGTTTAATTACTAACTTGACCCTCCTAAAGATGAATATGTGTAAAGAATAATTGGGAAGATTCATCACTAGTATGGAATGCAATAATGCTACAGAAACAACCTGAAATATTTATGATTCTAACAGAATAGAATAAACTGGTGATAAAAATGGATATTTTAAAAAAATGTAGACAATGGCTTAAGAAAGGAGAACAGGCTAAAGCACAACTCAAAATGAACTTATATCCAAGGAAAGTTTTGCTATGTATTTGTTGGGATTGCATTGCTCTAATCAAACCAGTTAATGTTATAATTACAGCAGACATCTATTGCTAACTGTTAGCTTGCTAGCTGTTAGTGTTTAATTATTGCTTAGAAAGAAGAGAAGTCTAGTTTAAGTTTAATTACAAAAATATGATATTCTTTCATTTGTCATGTACAGCACATCATTTAGCCACTTTCCTTGTTGAATGAAACATCCACAGATCATGTGTATTCTCTGCTGTAAATAAATAAAAGAGTATGAACCTGTCTTACATGTCTATATAAACAGCTATATGTGAGTACCAGCCACTACAGGTTGGTGTTTTGGTGGCTGTTGGTGTTGACTGTTAGTGTTTTGGTAATAGTTTGTAGCAAGTTAGTATTGAGGTATTGACCACTGGTGATTTAGTGATCTACACAAAACCTTTTATTTACAAACTATTTTGGCATCAATGAATGTGAATAACAACTTTGACCAAAAAATGATCATAAATTTGATGGATCAACATCTGGTTCATTGTTACAGCACACCTCACAACCCATACTCACACACAATCTGCATTTAACGACCCATTTCTCTTTCCCATCTCTCTAGTAATGTAACATGGGAACTCCTCCTCTCTCTTTGGATATATAATAACAGTTGATGAATGCAAAGGCATTTAGGTCAAAAGCGACTGACAGCCACAGGAACAGGTGAGAGCTGAAGCTAAAAATAGATTCTCATACATGTGATGAATCACGTGACCAAATACAAATGATCAAGTGGGAAAAGATTGACAGAAACCAGTTGGGATAACGAAGCTCAAAGAAGACAGATCATCTATCGCATGCGAATTGATTCTCTAAATTGAAGAGAAGGAATGCTGTCCCCAACTCACATAAACTCCAAGCTCAGAATCAGGCAGATCGAGTCTTGTGTGAATAATTCCTCTTTTACTTGTTACAGTCAAGCAAGAGAGATCACATGATAAATTAACTTTAATCTGTTTATATTAAAGGCATAGGTGAATGGCGAAACATGACAGTCACCTAAGAAATGCATATGTGATATACTCAATCGGATGAAGTATCCAAGCTATAAATTCTGCACAGCTAAATATACTGACTTATACAGTGTCAAATCTTCATAACCAAATGTACAACTTTTATAGTCCTGAACCTCCTTAACTGACTAATGAAGGCGATATTGAAGAAAGAAGAATAGATCAAAGGACACTGCCACTCAAGCGAACAAACTGATTTGAAAGTAAAAAGGACAAAGAGAAACATAAAAGAAAGAGAGAGAAAAGGGAAAAGAGAAAATCTTATGTTATTTCACAAGAAGAACTGAGGCTAAGTTATTGTTTTAACTTTTACCCTCATAAAATGTTGTGTAGGAAACCTACCACCCCTCTTGAAGATTAACTTGTCTACAAACAAAGACGTTAAATAGTGGCATGTCAAAAGACAGACTAGAGTCGGAGAAGTTCTTGGCTGAGTTAGTTATAGACTACTCAGGCGATTTCTGTACCTACTTACCAACCGAATAAACCCCTTTTTATTGTTACGTGTTATTTGGCGTTTGTCTTTATTAACCCCAAATCAACATCATAACAGTGGCTTCTAGAGATTTGTTCATCACGCTGAGTGGAGAATTTTTTTAACTCTAGGTGGACTATATAATTTTTTTTTTCTATGACTGAAAGAAAAAAAAACAATACGTCGAACTTTGTTCTTCACGAAGAATTGGGATTTCAACGTGCCAAAAGAAGTAAGACTTGTGCTTATTGTTGGATATATACGTGTTTTTTTCCTTTTTTGACTGTTTTTCGAAAAGTTTTGTGTAATCTATTACATAATGGAAGATTTGATTACATTAACAAAAACTCTAGTGCAAAGTCAAATTCAGCAACTTCTGAGCAACAAAAATTGTTTCGGGAACAACTATTGGATTTACAAGTTCAGCAGCGAAATGGCAATAAAGGCTTTATATGAAGCAATTTTACTTAAGAATCCAGTTTGAATTATCGTCATTCATGGCCAAGGTATTGCTAATTCTATTACTGAGTTTAAATTTAACCCAGAGGAGGGAATAACATTTCTTGATTTCAGCAGATTTGAAACAATAATTGAAAAAATATGTGATGGTTGGACTGATGAACAAAAAGTGAGTTTACTTTTACAAAAGTTGGGTACAGATGAAAATAATAAGTATACGAATTTTGTCCTTCCAAGAAAAACTAGTGACATTTCTTTTCAAGAAACTGTTATCTAGTATTTTTTGAATTAGTTAGTTTGTTTCATACTCGTTTCTCGTGTTTGAATATGGTAAAGTGTGACGATGAGGATGTTGTTACGTATGCTGGTAATGTTAACAGAATGTGTGAACGTTTTATGTTACATGATCTTTCAATTGATCGATTTAAATGTTTGATATTCGTTCAAGGCTTGACTTCTAGCAAAGATAAGGACATAAGGTCCTGAATGTTGGCAAAACTTGAACAAAATTCCGAGATTACTTTGCAGAAGGTTACGGAAGAATGTCAAAGAATTGAAAACTTAAAACATGACAATACAAAAATTGAAGAAAAAGACATATCCCGGTCCATGCTATTCGACCAAAAAAGGAATAGTTAATAAAAACGTTAAAAACCAACATGCTTTGGATGCGGTGGTGATCATTTTAAAAGTGAATGTTTTTTTTTAAGACAAAAAATTGCTATTAGTGTGGCAATAAAAGGCAATATAAGTACTCATTGTAAAAAGCAAAAAAAAAAAATTTAAGTCGAAAAAAGATGTGAATATTGTATTGTCAAGTCAGGAGATTGAGGAGGGGCAGAAAGAAAATTCGTACAGGTAAAAATTAATGGAAGAAATGTTAAACTACAGCTAGATACTGGAAGTGATATTTCCATTTTAATACAGCAACATGGATTAAAATAGGCAGACCTTTGCTTAAAAAGACTGAAAAAAGTGGCTTATAGGATTTCTGGAAGAAAATTGCATTTTCAAGGTGAATTTTCTTGTAATATTTCATTTGCTTGGTAAGACACAATAGTGTATGTGCTACAAAATGCTTCAAATTTGTTTTGGAACAGATTGGATTATACTGTTTAATTTATGGAACTCCCTATAAATTCTTTTTTTGCAATACAGTTAATGTTTCTCTCGATGTAAAAAATCGGGTTACAGAAAATTTGTTGAAAGATCTAAAAAAAAAAATTTCCACAAGTATTTTCAGAAGGTCTTGATGTTGCAAAAAGGCGAAGGCAAAATTTGAAGTGAAGGAAAATGTAAAACCTATTTTCAAAGCGAAAAAGAAATATGCCATTTGGTGTTGTGGAACAGATTAACAAAAACCTAGTCCGTTGGAACAGCTTGAAAATTTAGGAGTTATTTCATGAATTGAATTTTCAGAGTGGGCCTGCCCTGTTGTATATGTTAAGAAAAAGAATAATAAAATTCGGATGTGTGCCGATTTCTCTACAGGTCTAAATGATTGCTTAAAAGACCACATATCCTTTTGCCTTCACCAGAAGACATTTTTGCAAACAAGTGGAGGAAAATATTCTCTAAATTGGATTTATCGGATGCCTATCTCCAAGTGAAAAATGGACGAAGAATGTTCTAAATTGTT